AACGAAAGTTTCTCCTTTTACATTTAGTAATATATACAGGAGAAGAGGTTACTAGCCCATTGTTCCCGGCATTTTAGTTCACTTTAACAACACGCATGGCTTATGGAGGAAAGATTCTAATTCCACTTCCCCATGGATATAAGGGGAAAAGTACTAAGAACAAGAACTAAGATAAAATGAAAGAAAACTCAGATGAGTGTGTATAAATAAATGTGTACATGTATGTTTAGTGTGACCTATGTGTAAGGAGAAGTAGCAAGACGTACCTGTAACCTTGCATATTTTTGAGACAGACAAAAACACCAGCAATCCTACCATCATGTAAAACAATTACAGGCTTTCGTTTTACACTCACTTGGCAGGACGGTAGTACCTCCCTGGGTGGAAAAAGCCAAACTATAAAAGGGGGGACTATACAGGCATGAGGAACTTCCTTCAGGAGGTTCAGTGTGAAAGAGAATTGGTAGGAAAAACAGTAAACAAAATGATGAACTACATGATAACAAAATGCAAGGAGGCAGAGGAGAGGTTTGTTCCCAAGGGCAACAGAAATAATGGGAAGATCAGAACGAGCCCTTGGTTTATCCAAAGGTGTACGGAGGCAAGAACTAAGTGCGCTAGATAATGGAAAAAGTACAGAAGATAAAGGACCCAGGAAAATAAAAAGATTATTCGGAGAGCCAGAAACGAGTATGCATAGATAAGGAGGGAGGCCCAGCAACAGTATGAAAACGATGTAGCATCAAAAGTCAAGTCTGACCCAAAGCTGTTGTAAGCCACATCAGGAGGAAGACAACAGTCAAGGACCAGGTAATCAGGCTGAGGAAAGAAGGTGGGGACCTCAGAAGAAACGATCAAGAAGTATGTGAGGAGCTTAACATGAGATTTAAGAAAGTATTTACAGTGGAGACAGAAAGGACTCTGGGAAATCTAAATAGGGGGGGGTACACCAAGAAGGAACATGCCAACAAGTGCTGGATGAAATGCACACAACCAAGGAGGAGGTGAAGAAGTTGCTAAGTGAACTTGATACCTCAAAGGCAGTGGGACAACAAGTCATGGTACGTGATGATGTGCCAGATTGGGCACCTGTGATGAGCGGGATTCCAAAGGGGTCAGTCCTAGGACCAGTGCTATTTCTGGTCTGGTGGCTAAAGCTCCCGCTTCACACACGGAGGGCCCGGGTTCGATTCCCGGCGGGTGGAAACATTTCGACACGTTTCCTTACACCTATTGTCCTGTTCACCTAGCAGCAAATAGGTACCTGGGTGTTAGTCGGCTGGTGTGGGTCGTATCCTGGGGGACAAGATTAAGGACCCCAATGGAAATAAGTTAGACAGTCCTCGATGACGCACTGACTTTCTTGGGTTATCCTGGGTGGCTAACCCTCCGGGGTTAAAAATCCGAACGAAATCTTATCTTATCTTATCTTAATGACATGATGAAAGGGACAGACTCAGAAGTGTCCTTGTTTGCCCATGATGTGAAGTTAATGAGGAGAATTAAACTGGATGAGGATCAAGCAGGACTACAAAGACATGGACAGGCTGGAAGACTGGTCCAGCAACTGGCTCCTCGAATTTAACCCTGCCAAAAGCAAAATAATGAAGATTGGGGAAGGGCAAAGAAGACCACAGACAGAGTATATGCTAGGTGACCAAAGACTGCAAACCTCACTCAGGGAAAAGGATCTCGGGGTGAGTATAATACTGAGTACATCTCCTGAGGCGCACATCAACCAGATAACTGATGCAGCATATGGGCGCCTGACAAACCTGAGAATAGCATTCCAATACCTCAGTAAGGACTCGTTCAAGACTCTGTACGCTGTGTATGTCAGGCCCTTACTGGAGTATGCAGCACCAGTTTGGACCCCACATCTGGTCAAGCATGTCAAGAAATTAGAGAAAGTGCAAAGGTTTGCAACAAGACTAGTTCTAAAGCTAAGGGGCATGTCCTACAGAGAGAGGTTAAGGGAAATCGACCTGACAACAATGGAAGACAGGAGGGATGGAGGGGACATGATAATGAAATATAAAATACCGCGAGGAATTGACAAGGTGGGCAGACAGGATGTTCCAGAGATGGGACACAGAAACAAGCGGTCACAACTGGAAGTTGAAGACTCAGATGAGTCAAAGGGATGTAAGGAAATATTTCTTTAGTCATTGAGTTGTCAGGAAGTGGAATAGTCTGGTGAGTGATGTAGTGGAGGCAGGATCCATACATAGCTTTAAGGATAGGTATGATAAAACTCATGGAGCAGGGAGAGAATGGATAAGTAGCAACTAGTGAAGAGGCAGGGTCAGGAGCTATGAATCGACCCCTGCAACCACAAGTAGATGAGTACACACACACAGGGCCATGAGCTATGACTCAACCCCTGCAACCACAATTAGGTGAGTACATGTACACACACTCACTTTGAAACAGCTCTTATGAACCCAGCTTGAAGTTCTCGGGCACTTTTTCTTCAGCTACAACACTTAACTTATCACTCCAGTTTTCTTTAGCTATATAAACATGTAAAGTGGCACTGAACAAACATTCTGACACCATGATGCCACTCAGGTAAGTAACCTTCTTACCCCACCCTCCCCTCATTGTCCATAATTTTCTATGTTCAAGCTTGCCTGCCATTTTTAAGCATCAGGATTAGATAAGATATCAACAGCTATGAATTTCAGATGCCATTATGGTCTGTTGTTACATCCCACTGTGATCCTCATCCAGTTAAAACATAGCAAATGCGATATGGCACTGTTATTATATTCATGGGGAAGTGGTGAATCACGGGGTCAAACAGTGTCCCGGAAGTGGAAGTTAATCAGGTCTTATATAAGAAAGGTGAGGATAACTTCAATTCCTTGGATTAAGAGCATTCACCGGTATCAACACACCCCCACCCAGGAAGGCATGCAATGAGTCCCACTTATTCCCATCAGGAAAGATTAGTTTCCTCTTTCAAATTTAACCTTCAGGGACCCTAGATTAGTACAGTACATAATGCAAAGACTTTCAGAGATCAGCACAAGATTTCTACCAACTGACTTTATGATTAATATCTACTGGGAGTGTAGAGTTTCAGTCCCATCAGTCTCGTAAAACAACAGCACACACTGACAGTCTCATTCGGAGAAAATCAGGATAAGCACTATGAGTACATTTACTTTTCTTCCGGGCAGATATGTGGGTTAGGAAGTTGGAGTGGTTTCATCAATCATTCCCACTTTCATCTACTTTTGATTTAGCTAAATGTATCAAACAATCCTTTCCACTAAAATGTAGTCTGTGTCATGCAATAAAAATGTCTAGCAGTGTCCTCCAGTATGGAGTAGCAGGATCAAGTGTCCTCCAGCATGGAGGAGCAGGATCAACAGCATCCTCTAACATGAAGGAGGGGGGCCTTAACTCATTGCCAACACTGTTGGCAATGAGTCATGGGAAATACCCAAGGCACTGGGTTATTATAGAAAACCCATTGTTATAAAAATATAGAATTCCATATATATCTCATGTTATAAGTTTGGCAAAACTAGCTTCCAGCTCTCAAAATACGTATATAATTTGTTAAGGTAACATATCTTGCCCCTTTTTATTTGTATTGCAATCTCAGTAACTTGTATCTTCACCATCTGTAATCAACCATTCCACGAAACTAAAGATGCTTTAACCAGTTTAAACAAAATGTAGTTATTTTGTAACTGACCATTTGTCATTAGTTACCTTTCTTATTGTAATAATTATTGTAGTTAAATGTCAAAAAAGGCCTATATAATAAGTAATGTCTACACACAAATAACCCGCACATAGGAAAGAGCTTACCACGACATTTTGGTCCAACTCGGACTATTTACAAAGTCACACTAACACAAAAGACTGAGGGAACCAATTATCTGCGTACTGTTCAAGCCACGGTATTGTGCCTTTTTTTTTTTTTAGGCTATGTCTAGTTCTTAAGTAGCATGTACTCCTTATGATTAGTTTCCTGAAATGTACTGTATACATTATTACTTATTATCTTACAAAAATAATCCAGCTTGTTGGAGCTAATATCAGAGATTGTAAATTTTATCATTCAGGTAAACCAACTTAATCTCAAAAATGTCTGTAGTTACAAGTTAATTTTAAGGCTGCTCAAAATGCTCTGCATAATCAGGGGCTTTCTTAAAGTATGCTAAAGAAGCCAACTATGCCTGTTTTAATTATGTTATGTAACTTTATAAAGATTATCATTATCAATGTAAAAAAAAATGTAACTAAAAAGTTGAATCTCAAATTTTTTACTTTTCATTTGGTGAAAGAAACAAACCTTCCTTCGTGAACTTGTACCAATCCTCACCTTCCTTGAATCAAACCTAATTTCCTCCTATTTCCTTAGTCTGCATGGATCTTATGGGCAATGTTATCATTTCCCCATATAACGATAATAATAATAATAATGGTAATAATAATTGCCTATGAGAAGGTAAGAAGGTGAGGTGAGGTGGAGTCAGTGGCAGTGTACTTCCAAATGAGACACACAGGAAGCTTGTGAGGCAGCAAGCCAAGAGGAGACACAGCGGTGGTGGGAAGCAGAAGGTGCCTGAGTTTGGTAAAGTGAAACATGCTCCAAGTGTTTCATTAAGATGCTTGTAACTGTTCTGCTTTGCTCAAACTGCTCAGGGAGGGGAAGGAGGTACACACTGATCAAATGTATCACACAAGAGAAATTTAAGGATAGTTCTTTTCATTTTTTAAGCAGATTTTTTTGGAAAAGATAGATTGATGTTAATGGAAGCCTGAAAGTATGCTGAGTAGCAGAAACAAATTGAGGATTGATAGTGAGGACTAGATACTAATTTGGTGGTGGAACATATTGCCACATCCAATCATGCACACTGAGACATCAAAATTCGAGAGAAAAGCTATTGTAGTTTGTTACTCCATCAAAGAAAATGAAAGACTGTACTTGTAAACTCCCACAACTTCCCATTCTTTAGTATTAAGCAGCAACTTACCTTGATTCGTTTGAGTGGTACAGAATGTCTTGATGAGTGTGTCAGTGGTTTGTGTGTACAGAGATAATGCATAATTCAGAGATTTTAGTTCTGGAGATTTGTCGAGGAAGTTCTTCTTAAGGCCATTGCCGCCTGCATGGAAGTACTGCTTGATGGTATCCAGTGCCACTTCCAACACAGCACACTGCTTGGGTGTTAAGTTACGCTCAAAGTCCTTAGAGATATCCTGTTAGGGAAAAAATTATTATTATTAAAAAAAAAAAAAAATACACATTTTGACTTTAGCTAGTCATATGCTTTACACATATCCTCGAGAAAGCACGCTGTTTTTTAACAAGTTATGCTCAATAAACAACAAATTACAGGCACATGAAAATTTTTTTTTTAACACTGGCCATTTCCCACTGAGGCAGGGTGACCCAAAAAGAAAGAAAAACCCAAAAAGAAAGAAAAATAATTTCAGCATTCAACACTTTCACCATCACTCATACATAATCACTGTCTTTGCAGAGGGACTCAGATATAACAGTTTAGAAGTCCCTCCAAACAACCAATATCCCAAGCCCCCCCTTTAAAGCACAGGCATTGTACTTCCCATTTCCAGGAATGGTTTCCCTGAATCCCCTCACAAAATATTACCCTGCTCACACTCCAACAGCTCATCAGGTCCCAAAAACTATTCGTCTCCATTCACTCCTAACACACTCACGCATGCTTGCTGGAAGACAAAGCCCCTTGCCAACAAAACCTCCTTTACCTCCTCCCTCCAACCTTTTTGAGGATGACCCCTACCCCGCCTTCCTTTCCCTACAGATTTATATGCTCTCCAAGCCATTCTACTTTGTTCCATTCTTTCTAAATAACCAAACCACTTCAACAACCCCTCTTCAGCCCTCTGAAGTGACTCCACACCTCCTCCTAATTTCCACACTCCGAATTCTCTGCATAATATTTACACTACACATTGCCCTTAGACACGACATCTCCAGTGCCTCCAGCCGCCTCCTCACCGCAGCATTTACAACCCAAGCTTCACACTCGTATAAGAGCGTTGGTACCACTATACTTTCGTACATTCCCTTCTTTGCCTCCATGGATAACTTTTTTTTTTGTCTCCACAGATACCTCAATGCACCACTCACCTTTTTTGCTTCATCAATTCTATGGTTAACATCATCTTTCATAAACCCATCCACTGACAAGTCAACTCCCAAATACCTGAAAACATTCACTTCTTCCATACTCCCTCTCTCCAATGTGATATCCAATTTTTCTTTATCTAAATTGTCTGACACCCTCATCACCTTACTCTTATCTATGTTCACTTTCAACTTTCTACCTTTACACACCCTCTGAAACTCATCCACTAACCTTTGCAACTTTTCTTTAAAATCTCCCAAAACCACAGTATCATCAGCAAAGAGTAACTGTGTCAACTCCCATTTTGTATTTGAAACAAATATTGAACTTAAAAAAATTATGCATTTACACAGTTTAATTGAGGATGACCAACACTTTAATGTTTTTTTTTTTAAATACTAATCTCGTGAAGTTTGTGAATACCTCACTATATGAGGTTTCAATGTTAATATAATTAAAAAAAAAAATATCATGAGTTCTGAAGGAATATCAAGTCAAAGAAATATTTATTGAATCAAAGGAAAATAACAAACATAGACACAGAGTGATGAAGTCTTCTTCAGCAGATAACAAGATTGAGAGCCAAGTTAATTTACAGAGATGCCAGGTGACACTGCTTAGCAGTGTGTCATCTACATGAAAGGTGAGCGTAGAGCGATGTAACTTTAGGGAGGGTTCGCAACTGTCATATTTTGCATTTTTGTGGATGTGGTTGGACATTTAGTCTGTCAGCACTGCTACTGTTGTTTATCGTCAAAATGAAAGATTACATGAGAAGAAAAACAACGAAAGCGGTGTTGATAGATTCTACCTCTTACTACATCCCCAAAGACAAATACAAACATGACATAATAACCAAATCTACCATACACTAACAATGCAGAAACCAATATAAAAGGGCAAATACCATCACAAAGGTGGTGAACTCTTCTTAAAGTGACACCACTCTATACACACTAACTAACAAAGATGACACTTTGCCAAACATCTCACCCTATCATCTCTATATAACAGCTTTTTCTCATTCTTATCTGCTGAAGAGGACCTCAGCTGGAGCTAGAAATATACAGATAGTCCTCATCTCTGTTTCAGTCTGGGTACATGCAGGTATTACCTTTTTAATGACTTATAATAAAGTACAACTGAACAGTAACACTACAGAACAAAGTTTAGAACTTACATAAAGTTAATTTACCACTAATCTGATGTGAAAATAATTATAAAAGATAAAAAGATAAAGATTTTATTTCTCTGCAAAGGTTACAATGTGTAATTACAATTTTGATTTGTTAAGTACAAAGAAAGCCACTATCATGCCGGGGCATTTCGGGCAGACTGATCCTAGTACAGTACATAATACTACTTAAGTCTAGACAAGATAAGAGTGATTAACTTTTTAATAAATCTTTATTTTAAATTAATATCTTAATATGTTAAGAAAGCAACCAAAGCAAAACAATTAGAAATTTCCGAGCCCTGCTTAAGCAAAAATATTTTACTGTGTGTACCTCAAAATAACTGAATATTAAGTGAAATAATATATACAAAAGTCACAAAATGGTTTTGACAAAAAAGGCTATCAGTACAAACACAACCCAAAGGGGTGTGTTGCAACTAAAGAATTAACAAACACAAAACAAGTAGCTCTGGTTACATGCTCCCCCTATAAGGGATGGAGGGCACACTGATGTTAGAAACAGGTTTTTGATCCAAGAAACTGGATCTACTCACTCTTCCTTGGATCAAACCTTCTTGTTCCCCAGAAGCTGTAAGACCCCTATGGGTTTAGTGCTTTTTAGCTTTAAAAAGCTAAAAACAAATGCAGCGTAAATTTCAGTGGACATAAATGTTTGAAGTAAAGATGATACGTGTATCTCAGCTTTACAATAATACAGAAATACTGCAAGTATTCACTAGTTAGGACATTTGACAAAGGAATATAATGCAATAAAAATGATAAAATACACAACAAAGAATGTTTGCTAAATATACATGCTAAAAACACAACAAAATCACATTTCCATCCAATTAATACAACTACAGCATGAAGTACTCTACATATAAAATAAAATAAATAAATTAATATAGCAGTTTATACTCTGCTAAAAACATACAGACATGCAACAACAACAGAATAATATACTATAACTATTGAATCAAGCGAAAAAAACAATTTGTAAAAATTAAAAGAGCTTCATCTTCAGCTCAAATGAGCCAGAAGAGACATACTCATCCTCAGTGGAAATAAGAGAGCCACTAGAGATATTTAACATGCTAGAATTCTTCAAGAATTAGAGCCAGACCATAATGTTTGAGACAGCGTTCTTGACGTCTTTCCCACCGGCCAGCTGGTTCTTGAAGAGCCGAGACATGTCTTCGATCTTTGCATTAGCAGCTAAATTCTTGGCATTGTCTGTCAGGTTCTTGAGCATCATCTGGTGGTGGGCATTGTGGATGCGTAAGGTCCGAGGTATATTAGGTCAAACCAGGTTAGGCAATCTCACATGAATAAGGAGGAACAAACCACAGAACAGGTAGGATTTGAAACTATGGCAAGTGAGTTGAACCCCACAGAACGGGTGGCATTCAAAGTCCACCTCTTCTGTGGTTTGTTTGCAATTGTTATGATTCTGTGAGTCATGAATAAGGAAAAATGTCTTGTCATGATTAGCATGTGAATCTAAAAGTGTGCAATTGTTGTCACACAGTAACTACTGAGCAGCATGTCATGGTAATGTTATAGTTTGCCCTTCAAGAGACATACATGCCTTGAAGGGCAACCAGATTACCCTTCCTGCTTGTATTGACAGAATTAAAGAATGTATATTACTAAGGTGCAATATGCAGTTTATGGAATTTTATTAAGAAGTAAAATCCACCAGAGAAAAATATTACCTTCGATTTCCCCAACGAACTTTACATATTCTATTAATATAATATCAAGTGGTCTGACCCATGCACCATTCTCCTTTTTTTTCCAACTGACCCATGGTACCTATACCTGTGAATCCTACTTTAATCTAGTATGGAGTTTTTTCTTTAATATTTTCCTTTATTCACAATAATGTATGCCTGTTGAGTGTTTAAATTTGGGAAAATTCTGAATAACTGTGTTTTAATGTAAATCCTTCACCTCTCTTATTGTGAAAACAATTCTGATTTAGAGAGATTTACTAATAAGCAATAAAGACATTTCACCATTATTAGTAAAACTGAATTTCCCCAATTAATCCAAGTTAAATTTTTTTAGAAAGCATACTGTCATATTTGAAAAATTCAGAATTTGATGTTTTCTCAAAGTAAAATTTGAGAATTTATGCTTTTTCTTGGAACAAATTTCAGAGCTGAATCCAAATTCAAAATTTATGTTTTGTATTTGGGTAAGTTGCAAAAACTGCAACAGAAATCTAAACAGAAGAGGTGGTATTTTAGTAGTGCCACAACACGAGCCAACTTACTGCCTTGTCAGTCATGGGAGGCAGGACAACCGTCTTCTCCATGGTGGTCATGACAATCTTCCACAACTCCTTCAGAAGTCGTTTTAAGACTGTCTTCTCACAGGACTGGGCATAGAGGGTGAGCGAGACCTCCAGCAGGTCCATCAGTGGTACGAGGACATCGTCGGCCTCGATGGCCACTTCATTACGTTGTGAAGGCTGGACCTGTCCTGTACCTTTGACTGCTGCTAGTTTATCGCCCATCTCTTTCACCTTGACGGCAATGCGGCACTCCAAGCTGAAAGGGAAATGCGACGTACAGCTCTTTTACCTAGATCAATGACCTGCTGTTTTGTCTCCTTTGAACAGGTGCACCTTGATGCCCATGAAGAGCTCTTGATCTAAGACATTGGAGCTATCCTTAACTTCCTTGGACTAAATTTTATTGTTTACAGTTCTGTTGATGCTATATGACCCAATCACATTTAGTGTTTTCCAAATGAATATAATGTGTGTGTCACATTACATACTGACCTCTTAGCAAACTTATGAGCAAGTTCATCGAGGACGGTGTTGAGAGTTCCCTGCAGCTCATTGAGAATGGTGGCAACATCTTCCTCCAGGTTACCACCTCCCATCTTCTCATACATCTTTTCAAGCTGAACTCTGAGTTGCTGGATGTTGTTCATCAAAATGCAAGCCTATACATGAAGATATCAATTTGTATTTCATCAGTGAAGTTGTGACAATACGTATTATTACAACACATATCACCGTATATCAATACATACATACATACAGGATTCCTAAGGGCCTTTCCTTGGGTTTAATTTTCATGGGAATGTATGTAATGGTTTTAATATTATAAAAGATGGGTTCTCAATGAAGGATGGCTTACATGTGGTTCAGTGAGTTATGAAACCATGACTGCACGAAATTCCACTTAAATAAATAGAGGTGATTGACAAGCAAATAAACATACGGTAACATAAAAAAAGAGTAAAGTACTTGAAAAGTCTGCAGCTTCAGCAGAAGCCAATGAATCAAAGATATGTAGACAAATAGGTGAGTACAAATAGGTGAGTACAGCAAGCTTTTTTATTTAACAACAGTCCCTCTTGGTAGAGCAAAACATTACTAAATAAAAGTCTTAGTGTGTCCATGTGTCTTTGATTCATTTTAAAATATTCCCAGTACTGTACTCAAATTAACAAAAGAGCTCAATAATGCAGTACAAACCTTTTTCTCATCACCAACATAATTGGGAAACTCCTTTTTGGTAATATCAGCATACGCTAAGAGCACCTTAACTATCGTCTTGGCAAATCTCTTCATAAATCTTTTCCAGATCTCAGGGTCTGGACATTCCAATTTTGAGACAACACCGAAGCACTGAGTCAGCTGAGTGAAGACATCAACCACAGAGTTTGAGAAGAGCGAACTCTCAGAACTGACTGGGAACTGCAAGAGAGCAGATTTACACAATTTTAAATGGCTTTTCTGAGGACAAAGATTAAATGTTTTAATATTTTATTTATAAAGGTTGGTACAAGGATTTAATGCTGCCAGAAATAAGGCAAGGATACATGTAAGTGAACCAGATTTATCTGGGACAAGTTGAAAAAGCTCTCTTTAGAGCAAAACATTGTACTTATAAAGGCTGTTCCTGTTTCATGTGTCTTGGTCTTCATTTATAAATTAAATCTAAGAGGATATCTTTTTTGTTTTTCAGTTACACTCATCCCGTAGCAATGATAGATGGGGTAACAGAAACACTTCATAATTAATCCACAATCTGGAGGGAAAGCTTCAACAAATAATGATTCAGGAGAGACTGAATATCAAATTACCTTTTCCAAATTGTGGGTTAATTGTGAACTGTTCTAGCCAGGGTACTGTGACCCATTCTTTGACAGATGCTCTATATGTAATACTATATGAAGAACACAAAGGCACAATACTGTGACTGGAACAATACACAAATAATACGTGCATAGGAGAAAGAAACTGTATGACGATGTTTCAGTCCAACTTGGACCATTAACTAGTTACACAGTGTGACTAGTTAATGGTCCAAGTTCGACTGAAACATCGTTATAAAAGTTTCTTTCTCCTAGGTGTGGGTTATTTGTGTATGGAATACTACATGAAAACAGTGAAGGTAAGTAACACGCAGACTACACTAGTGGTACCAGAACTGCTGTCTTACTTCATCTTTCTTGTCTCTCTGGAAGGCACCGTTGAGGTACTCGAGCGACACATCGTCGTTCTCATTGAGCCACTGCATCACAAATGGCTCAAACCACCTACAAAATTATTATTACTGTTAGAAATAAGCGAGTGAAATGTGTATACATTTTTTACCAGTCTGTATATCTCTTGCAACACTAAAGACATTTTTTAGCATAGCAGGATAGTCTGATGGCTATGGTGCTCACAACTCATTAAAGAAAGTGTGACAGAGATAGTCTCAAGAGACATTCGTGATTTTTTTTATTAACACATCAGCTGATTTCCACCAAGGCAGGGTGGCCCGAAAAAGAAAAACTTTCATCATCATTCACTCCATCACTGTCTAGCTAAAGGGGTGTTTTACACTACAGTTATAAAACTGTAACATTAACACCCCTCCTTCAGAGTGTAGACACTGTACTTCCCATCTCCAGGACTCAAGTCCGGCCTGCCAAAAAAATAACAGTGGAAACCCTGATCACTTCTTTAAGAATTTAAATGTGACATACACACAAAGAGTGATTAATGTAGTGCAGGATAGCCAAGAAAATTTTCTTTTTTTTTTCCAAACAATAATAAACCAATGGAACAATTGATCTCCTAAAAGCTGTGAAAGTCACAGCTGCTACAGTTCAAAATTAGCCTGAACAAACTCGTTAGGAAAAAACAGAAAGAGCTGGCACAAGCCATGGGCCTTCCTGTTGACCCTTGAGTTGCTGGATAGTGGTGAACACATAACTTCTTTAGTGTTGGTGTAAATGTATTTAATGCTCAGCAAGAGGGAAATGGACAAGAATGCATTCCTGGAGAGCATTACTAAAGATGTTTCGATCCTTCGACGTTGATCAAGGTCCAAGAACTGAAATGTCTTCAATAAAGGTGTCCATTTCCCGTAATTTGTTGGCAATTATTTGCCTTTTTAACACAATGCACAGCAAGATTTATTTTAGACTTGACATGTTCTAAAAAAAAAGGTTAACAAACTGGTGACATAATAGTGATAAAGACCCTAATAGATACAATGTTTCACCCACGGGTGGACTTCCTTTCAAGCACTTTAAAAAGCCCACCTGTGGGTTAAACTTTTCCCAGAAAGAATTTGTGTTTCTGTCACCAGTACAATTTTCATTCCTTTCTACGGTATATAAAATGTAGTTCATCTGTAATAAAATATTGTTAAGCACAAAAAAAAGGCCACTAGATGAGATAAAGATATGTCCTTCATTATGTGTCTTTGTGAGCATAATAATGGTACATGATATTGACAAGTTGATAAGTAAAACACAGATGCAACACTTAGGTATCTTTATTCCAAAATGTTTTGCCTATTTTTATTCCAAATGTTTTGCCTATTCTGAAATGTTTCACCTACTGTGTAGGCGAAATATTTCAGAATAAAGATACCTATCTGTAGCACGTCTTGCTTATCAATGTGTCTTTGTACCAGCTTGTTGCCCCAGTTGCTAACACTTAAGAGTTGGGAAGAAAAGGTAAGCTGGCACTTACGCTGGGTATTCAGGCACTTGGTCTTTGTAGGGAGGCACATCCTTTACGTAATTATTGTACAGCCACTTTACCTGTTGGGGGAATTAAATAATAAACTTGTCAGTGCTGATTCTGAGCTAAACCTTTATATTTACCTACAACAACATATAGTACATGTATGATTATTTCATTGAAGAACATAAAGACTTAAATTTTATAACTATACAATGTAAAGCAACAGAAAAAATATATTATAAAAGGATTACAAGAGCAACTGATACTCAACTTCACGGATTACAAGAACACTCAATATTCAACTTCACGGATTACAAGAACAATCAATACTCAAGTTCTCAATTACAAGATATATTCGACAAATAGCTAATCACTTTTTTCTAAAACAAAGCAAAATAATGAATATAAATGTTAGCAATTCAAAGAAACAGATGTGAGCTTACTTTGAAGTGGAGATTCATGTATTCACTACTCTTACACAAGCGATGTTGCTCATGCTCCTCCAGAGCATACTTGATATCTACTGCAAACATACTCCACATAGTTGAGGCAGACAGCTGCAAGAAAAAAAAGTTAGTTTATGTAATCCCTTAAATTACTGAGAAATACGCTAAATAAAATATATGATGTAAGAAAGTAAAAGACATACAGCATATAATTTCTTTTATGAAGTGCTTAGTTATTGCAAAGTATTTTAAGTTACATCTAACAGTAACTGTTTTCCAACAGGAGGGTGATCCAAAAAAAGAAAACACTTTTACCATCACTTGCATCTTAGCTGCCTTATTAAAAAGGAAGAGACACCATGACTGAAAGATGACCCAGGAAATTACAACAAGCCTACAGTGCCAATGCTCTTCTTCCCATCTTTAAAGCTTAATTAAATCCTGCTAAACTAGCTTCCAGAAATCCCTCATCATACATTTCCATGCTCATCCTCTTAACAGCACATCTAATCCCAAAATAGTATTCAAATAAAAACTATAATGTTTTTAACACAATGACCATTTCCCACCAAGGTAGCGTGACCTGAAAAAGAAGAAACAAAGTTTTTCTTGTTTTTATATTTTGTAATATATACAGCCCCTTACTCCTGACATTTTAGTCGCCTCTTACAACACACATGGCTTATGGAGGTAGGATTCTTCTCCACCTCCCCATGGGAAATATTAACATATTTTCCTTCAAGAGGAAAACTGAAACTTTGATCACAAGATGGTTAGTATTATTAATGCAAGTTAGTCACAAACCTCGTGTACTAGGAATCCAGATTAAGTCATAATAAACAACTGTCAATGAATACACAGAAGGATGGAAGGGGGCTCAAACATATTATTAGTAATCCTGCAGACGAAGTAACAGTTTTGGGTCTGTAATTCTGTGTATACCTGGAGAGAGTTTCAGGAATCAACACCACCATGGTTCAGTCTGTAATCAGGTCTTGTGGTAGATCAGAGCCTGATCAACCAGGCTGTTAAACTGGATTTAAAAAATCTGTTGATTAGCACATTTTGTCTTTCTTCCCTATGCTGTGACTTCACACGAGGTCCCTTCAAAGGGGCTGTTACCTGGCCACCAGTGAGGGGCTCTTGATCCAAGGCATTGGAGCTACCCTCCTTCTCCCTGGATGAAACCTGATTACCTGCTAATTCCCCAGTGCTGCATGAACCTTAATGGTTTAGTGTGTCCCCATGAATAAGTGAATAATGTCAGGACTAAAAATACCAGAAAGAATCTGCACAATTAATTGACAGCACTATGGTTACTCAGGGGCACAATATCAACAGGTACTCTCATCACTAACTCGTCACCCACAATGTCATGTCACTTCAAGTGCTCAACAGTCACTTATCACCCACAATATTTAAATATCTTGCTAGGTACTCATCACTCACTCATCACCTACACTTTATTTGTTGAGGAAGCTGACAAATAGTGAATTGAAAACAAAGAAATAGAATATAAACATTTTGCCTTCTGTGGGGTAAAATATGTCAAAGTACCACATTGGGTGAAGCATCGTTAAATAAAAGACTTATTGTGTTTATGTGTCTGAGTTCCTTGTCAGAGGAAAAAGACACTTATGGACAGTTCAGGATATGACTATGATGGTTCAGGACACAACTGATGAAGCCATGAGTGGTTTCATCGGTCATGGCAAAACCTTTCCTACAATAAATAAATGAATAAATGGCCAGAACTGAATGAAAGGGCTCTCTTCCTAAGGTTGTTGGTATCACCACAGTATTTACAATTCCCTGTCTGGGTTCATTAGATCAAAACTTTTCATAAAAGTTCACAGGTTCAAACCTATACGGTTTCACAAAAACACATGTCAGAGTTGATGGGTTCGAACCTATACCATTTCACAAATACACAGGTTGGAGTTCAAAGGTTCAAACCTATACCGCTTCACAAACACACAGGTCGGAGTTCAAAAGTTCAAACCTATAGTGTTTCATGAACATACCTGTCCAATGTTGAACTCCTGAGGGAACTGGTTGAGGACGGGGGCATAGCTGTTCTTGTCCTCTTCAATGACAGACACAATGAGGGCAATCAATTTGTGCCAGAAGTCGACACTCTCTAGTCGTGGCCCCTGTTCTCCACCTTCCTTCTTCTCTGATGGGTCCACCTGCATCAACACATGAACAAAGTTGATAATGTTATGAACAGTACTCAGTGAACAGGTAAATCTGTCTCTTTAACACCATCTAGTACAGGTGGAAACACTGAGTGTGTTTCCTTAAGAAACCTGCTGTCCATGTTCACCTAGCAGTAAAATAGGTACCTGGGTGTTAACTGACTGGTGTGGGTTACATCCTGGGGACAAAATTAGCCTAATTTTCCTGAAATGCTCTGCATAACCAGGGGCTTTCTATACAGTATGTTACTGAAGTCAGCTATGGTCTATATAAGTTTTATCATGTACTTGTAGATATTATTATACCTGAAATTCTCTGTTGTAGAGCTCATAGCAATTCTCGAACAGGAACTGGTAGGTGGACCTGAGACAGGCTATGGCACAGTCTTTCACAACCACACTGGCTCGAGGTGGTGAGGAGAGTTCTTGTACCTGCAGAGGACATGTCAGATTAGAATCAGACTCACATGTACTAACACCTTCAATAGTAGTGATTACTTATAATCATGTACAATGATATATTTAATCTACTTACATATACATTCATTAAATACTTATTTGCATACATTTAATAACCTTAAATACATATATGTACTACATAATGTTTATTGCCCTTGTAGTCTTAAGTTAGGGTTAAGCTTGCCCAAAATACTCTGCATAACCATGGGCTTTCTGCATGCAATCAAGTGTCACCTATTTCTGTATAAACATTGTATCATGTGGAAACAAACTGGCTAACTACAGTCGTAGGATACTGTAGCGGTGTAGCTGTTTTAGAGTAAGTTAAATATTGATCCGATAAACAATTGCCCCACCTAATAAGACATGTACATCCTGGAGCCTACCCATCAAACCTTGTTAAACTCACCAATACAAACTCTAACAAACACTTCAATTACGTCTAGCATCATACCTTGTATATTATTTCACCTCTTTTTCATAAAATAATGTATTACTTATATAACCAATTCTTTCTACACATAGCTCAATTAAAGGCTCCCCATTTACATTTACCCCCTGGCACCCCAAATTTACCTACTACTCTCCCCCAAAACATTCTTACCACACCATTTAGGCATTGCAATCCCCAACCCAGCCAATACTCTCACACTTTGATTCAAAACTCCAAATAACTCTCCCCACAGCATTCCCACCAACATTTCCCAGAATCTCGTCTCTCTCTCTCCACTACATAACTCTCTCTTCTCACAGGTGCATACATACACGCTTACTATAACCAACCCCACTATTCACATCCATCTTATATTACATCCACATAATCCTTGAATTTATACATTTGTATCCCCTCTTTTTCCTCCATAGCTTATCCTTCAACATTATCTACTCCTCCTTCTATTAGCCTCTAACTCATTTGAAAACCCCAATCCTAATCCCATTTAATCCCTCTCCATTGAAACTCTCCCACCACCCTTCAGCTTTGTTTCACTTACAGCCAGGACATCCAGTTTCTTCTCAATCATAACATCCACCATCATCACTTTCTTATCATAAATATAAATAGTAAATATTTTTTTTTTTTATTATTATTTTTTATTATATTATCACAACTCGGCCCACGATACCCCCAATGGCAGGGTGGCCCGAAAAAGAAAAACTTTCACCATCATTCACTCCAACACTGTCTTGCCCTAAGGGTGCTTTACACAACAGATTTTATAAACTAGCAAACATTAACACCCCTCCTATCAGATGTGCAGAGTCCACTGTACCTTCCCCATCTCCAGGACTCAAGTCCTGCCGCCGGTTTCCCTGAATCCCTTCATAACTGTAGCTTTGCTCACACTCCAAAAGCACTCAAGTAATATAAACCAATTTAGTCTCCATTCACTCCAATCACAACATGCTCACGCATAGGAGCGCGCGCCTGGAAGACCCAAGCCGCCTCGCACATAAACAAAACCTCCTTTACTCACCCCCTCCCCACCACCCTATCCTAGGCCGACCCCTACCTACCCCGCCTTCCTTCCACTACTAAGTGACTGATACACCTTCTTGAATCATTCTGTATTCGCTCCAATCTGCAAGCTACCTTGTCCGAACCACCTCCTCAACCCTTCCACAGCCCACTGGACCTCCGTCTTGAGTAATCCCCGCCACCTCCTCCTACACTTCCAAACTACGAATTCTCATGCATTAAAATCACAACCAACAACCATTGCCCTCTAACATGACATCATCCACTTGGCCTCCAGGCCTTCCCACGCTGCAAGCATTCAACACCCCGCTTCATCACACCCATATAAGATGCGTTTTGGTAAAAACTATCCTCTGCAGTATCATTCCCCTCTTTGCCTCCAAGGACAAAGTTCTTTGTCTCCACAGACACCTAAGTGTCACCACTCACTCTTTTTTTTTTCCATTTTTCCCGTTTCCTTACCCTCATCAATTCTAAGATTCACCTCACTTTCATAGCCGCCCCATCCGCTGACAACGTCCACTCCCAAAATATCAGAATACGTTCACCTCCTCCATACTTCTCATCCCTCCAATCTGAGATATCAATCTTTCATACACCTAATCTTTTTGTTATCACTCATAACCTTACTCTTCCCTGTATTCACACGCTTTAAATTTTCTTCCTTTTGCACACCCTACTACCAAATTCCATCCACCAATCTCTGCAACTCTCTTCAGAATCTCCCCAAGAGCACATGTCATCAGCAAAGAAGCAGCAGTGACAACTCCCCTTTTGTGTTGATTCTTTATCTTTTTTAACTCCACGTCGTCCTCTTGCCATACCCGCGCATTACTTCTCTTAATCAACGCCCATCTATAAATATATTAAACAACCACGGTGTACTCACACATCCTTGTCTAAGGCCTACCTTTTTACAGGGAAAAAATTTCCCTCTTCCTACATACACTAACTTGGAAGGCCCCTCCCCCTAAATCCTTTCGTAAAAAACCTTCAACTTGCTTTCAGTAACCTAACCACCTACACCATACACTTGCAACATCTGCCACATTGGCCCCCACTATCCACCCTGTCCTACGAGCCTTTTTTTTTTCCAAATCCATAAATGCCAAAGACCTCCTAAGTTAGCCTTATCTAATACTGTTCACTTATATGTTTTCACTGTAAACACCTGGTCCACCACCCCCTAAATCCTTTCCCTAAAGCCTCCTTGTTCATTCTGCTATCCATTCTCCCTCCAGTCTTAACTCTTAATTCTTTCAATTATAACGTCTACCATACACTTTACCAGAAAACCTAACAGACTTATCATCCCCCTATAATTTTTGCACCTCTTTTATCCCCTTTGCCGTTTATACCAAGGAACCTATGGCATGCTCTCTGCCCAATCCTGGTACCATACGCCAACCTCTCTTCCAAACATTTATAAATAAATGCAAACCAACCACTCCAAACTATATTCCCACCTGCTTTTAACATTTTTTCTAGTCTTTATTCATTCCCATCAATCCCGGCTGCCTTACACCCTTTTCATTTTACCTACTGCCTCACGAACTCTTCCCCCACACATCACAACTGGCTCTTCTCAACATCCTACAAGATGTTATTTCCTCCTTGCCCTATACACGAAATTCACAGCTTCCCTATCTTCATCAACATTTATAAACAATTCCTCAAAAAATTCCTTCCATCTTCCATACCTCTAACTCACCATTTAATAAACTCCCTCTCCAATTTTTAAAAAACTGACAAATCCATTTGTTCTCAAGGCTTTCCTTAACTTTTAATCTCACTACTCCAAAAACTTTTTCCTTATTTTCAACAAAATTTGTGATAACCTCTCCACCACTCTCTCATTTGCTCTCTTTTTACATTGCTTCACCACTCTCTTAACTTCTCTCTTTTTCCCATATACTCTTCCCCCCTCCTTGCAATCACCTTCTTAACTTTGTAAAAACTTCTCATATGCTAACCTTTTTCTCCCTTACTACACACTTTACATCATCATTCCACAACCGCTCCTCTTCCCTCCCTGCACCCACTTTCCCTGTAACCACAAAACTTCCATCTTCTGCTGAAACACTCAAACACTGACATTTTTAATCCTACCCCATACCTCTTCGACCCCCATTTCCTATAGCTCCATTAGCCCATCTATCCACCAATAGCTAGTTTTATATCTTACCCTAACTGCCTCCTCTTTAGTTTATAAACCGTCACCTCTTCTCTTCCCTGACAGCTTCTATTCTCCTTGTATCCCATCTACCTTTTACTCTCAGTGTAAGCTACAACTAGAAAGTGATCTGATTCTCTGTGCCCCTCTATAAACATGGTACCCACCTGAATCTACTCAACAGTCTTTTATCTACCAATACCATAATCCACAACTACTGTCATTTTCGCCCCTACACATATCCGTGTATACTTTTTATCCTCTTTGTCTTAAAATATGTATTACCTATAACTAAACCCCTTCATACAAAGTTCAATCCCAAAGGGCTCCCATTATCATTTACACCACACCCAAACTTTACCTACCACACCCTCATCAAAAAAGTTTCTCCTACTTTAGCATTTCAAGTCCCCTACCACAATTACTCACTCACTTAGTCAAAGGCTCCTATCATTCACTAAACATCTCCCAAAATCTCCCTCTCCTCTGCATTTCCTCTCTTCTCCAGGTGCATACACGCTTATAGTATGACCCACATTCTCGCATCCAACCTTAACCTTTAATCCAACAAAATATCTTGAATTTACACATTCATTTCTCTTTTTCTCCATCCATAACTGATCTTTAACATTACTACTGGCAACCTCCTTCCTTTGCTCTAACACTCTCTCAGATACTCCAGATTGAATCCATATTATTTCCCCACACTGAAACTCTCGCTACCCCCTTCACTTTGTTTTTCGCTTAATGGCCAGGACATCCAACTTCATTTCATACATAACATCAGCAATCATCTGTTTCTTGTCATCCCCCGCACTACATCCACGCACATTTAAGCAACCCATTTTTATAAAGTTTTTCTTCTTCCTCTATAGTTTTTTATAATGATACAGAGAAGGGGTCACTAGCCCCAATTGCTCCCACTCCCGGCATTTTATTCCGCCTCATACACACGCCTGGCTTACGAGGAAAGAATTCTTTTCCACTTCCCCATGGACAATAGAAGTAAATAAAAAAGCACAAGAGCTAATTAGAAAAAGGAGAAAAACCAAGATGGTATATATATAAAAATCAAGTGCGTGTCTGTGAAGTGCGACCAAAGTGTAATTAGAGTGCAAGATATCCCTGTTATCTTAGCGTGGGTTTATGAGACAGAAAAAGAAACCACAATCCAACCATCATGCAAAACCGTTTTACAGTTTTTGTTATCACAGTCATCTGGCGGACGGTAGTACTTCCCTGGGTGGTTGCAGTACCCTACCAACCATACTACCTATATATATAAATATATATATATATATATAATATATAATATCTAGATAT